TAATATAATAATATAATATATTATTATTATATTATATTATATATATATTAAAATTTCACATTGTGAGTATCTAAAGATATGTTATCATTTTTTTAATATTATCCACCTTTATCAAAATAAATCGAAAAATTTTTTTTTTCTCTTTTTAATTGTGAAAAATTATATTTGACTTTTACATGTATAAATATTATATTACTTTAAGACAGAGGAGAGGATTTTCAATCGCTAGCTCGTCTAGCTTTAAAAATCATTCAACTTCTACAAAATATAGATTGCCATCGCAAGTATTTTTTTCCATATCATAACTATTTCAATCTCCCAGTCTTAACATATTAACCTAAAATTGCATAAACTGATCTCAACTTCGTAAATGTAAAAACAGATTGTTACTTTTGAATATTTTTGAGAAATTGCTAACCAGCAGAATGAATTGTCACATAAACCATGAGCTAAAGGGAGGAAAAGAACTTTATGTTTTATCAGCTTGTTTTTTTATCATACTGTTGAGATAAATGTAAGTAATTGCATAAATAGTTTTTTTTTCCTTTTTATAACTGTACATTGCGAGTAATTAAATTGAAGATTTATTAGCAAATTGTTTATAACCATTTTTTATTAAATCAGATTCATTATTGAAGGAATTGAAAGTTTATGAAGCACAAAATTAAGAAAAAAAACTATTAAAACTTCAGATTCATGTTGAAAGAAAAATATCAAATTACTTTAGCATTGAAGAAAAAATTTTCCATCTCTTACCCGTTTAGTCTGCTAAACTATAATACCTTTACAAATTAAAGTTACCCTCTTCTTAAATAGTTTTTTTTCTAACCAAGGCATAACTATTTCAATTTCTCAGTTGGTTAAACTTTCAGCTTCGTCATACGTGCCTGATATAACATCAACGTTTATTTTCTGCTAAGCTCACTCTACAATGGGAAAGAATTTTTGGATGTATTTTGTTTGTGGCGTTGAATCCTGAGAAATAAAAACACACAAAAAAATAGTTATTTTTTTATTTACCTTTTTCTCTGTGTAACAGTATCTAGTGGATTTTCTTATCTATTCCATTTTGTGTTTTTATGCTGTTAGTACCGTTGTAAGTTTAATCTTTTAACTACGTTTTTTTCCACAGTTTTTTTTC